TTCATTAAAAATGAAGATAATTTTACCACAAAATAAAAAATAATTAAACAATAAAATAAAATATAAAAAATATTAATATATTTATTATATTAAATATAACAACATAATTAAAATATAATTAATAATATATATTTTATAAAAGTATTAATATTTTATATATATATAAAAAATAATGAAAAAAATTTTAGTGGGGTCAAGTGCCCCCACTATGATTAACTTAGATCCGTCTCTACATGTAGTTGTGTGGTAAAATGTTAGTCTTGTGTATCATCTTCCTTTACTTCAGGTTCTACCTCTTCAAGAACATGTTCTTGTTGTTGGGGTACATCGTTAATGACTTCAAGAAAAAATACCATGTCATTTCATCCTTTACTCCAGTTTGACTAACAATAAAATAAAATTTGCTATCATTGTCTTTAGTGATACACTATATTGTCCTTAATGATACACTATATAGCCCAACTGTTTAGCAATTGAAGTTATCAATTTTCATTGACAATATTATCAAATCCAGTGTTTGAAATGCTTTGTACCAAATCCACGTGGATGCCGATTTTTTTAAGACACCTGGAACCAAAACGGTCTGTTCTGAAACCAGAACGGCCCGTTCTGGTTGCACTCTTAGTGTGTTAATTTTGCACCTGGAACGGACCGTTCTGGATGCAAAATTAACACACCAAGAGTGCGCCCAGAACGGCCCGTTCTGGTTCCAGGTTTTTTCAAAAAAAATCAACATCTACGTGGCATCCACCTATGCATCTACGTGGCATCCATGTAGTCAACAGTTAACTCCGTTTAAATTATTTAGACGAAAGTCCTACATTGAAATCAATTAATTTATTAGGGACCAAATTGAGACCAAAATAAAAGTGAGACTAAATTGAAACAAATAATTATTATAAGGGATTAAAATAAGTTTTTAGCCTATAATTTTTTTGACTTAAAATATGTTCGAACTACCTCTAATTATGTCAAATTTTCATATTATTACCTATTAATTTTTTTTTAATTACCTAGCTAATTTTTTTTTAATTTATTATTTAGCATTAGTCTCATTCTATTATGTGATGACGTGACTGACGGACTGTCACGTTATCACTCAATAATATCTGCCATATCATTTAAATGTCCACCTTACTCTCCATGTCATTGGTCACGTCAGATTTTAAATTTTTTTTTAAATTTCATTGCCTTTCCAACCTCTTCTAGGTCGAACACTTCGGGAAATAGCCACACCGGAAGCTTCAAGGATCTCGGCATGACGGTTCTCGTCAGCCAGGTCAACCGTCTCCGGAAAATGAACCAGCTGGTGGTTGGGGTCGACTGCACCTCCACCGGCAACACCTCCGCGGGGATTCCTTCGATTATTTGACGAATTCGTTGAACAATTTAAGGTTGGAGGGGCAGAAGACAGTGGCGATTGAGATTTTGCAGCAATTTAATTGGGAGGTTCCGGATTGGGTGATAGTGTTGGGAGAATTTAGGGAATATCTTAGCATTTTACAAAGGGTTTAAGATGTGTAGGGATTTGGGGCTGGTGTAGGCGACGGAGGAGGAGCTGATGGATGCGATGGTGTAGGCGGATTCTACTGGCGACGACCGTAGAGGGTGAAGG